GATGGTATACGTCCCTGACCAGTGCATGAAATTACTGCCTCTCTTTCTTCCTTAACATTTAAAAGTTCCTCAAAATATTCTCACCATCTACTAATACCTCCCTCTCCCCATCTACTAACTCCCCTACTCTGTTTTTAACTGACAAATCCATACTTTCCCTAGGCTTTCTTAACTTGTTTAACTCACTCCAAAATTTTTTCTTATTTTCATTAAAATTTCTTGACAGTGCCTCTCCCACTCTATCATCTGACTCTCCTTTTGCACTCTCTCACCACTCTCTTCACCTTTCTTTTACTCTCCATATACTCTGCTCTTCTTATAACACTTGTGCTTTGTAAAAACCTCTCATAAGCTACCTTTTTCTCTTTATCACACCCTTTACTTCATCATTCCACCAATCACTCCTCTTTCCTCCTGCCCCCACCCTCCTATAACCACAAACTTCTGCCCCACATTCTAATACTGCATTTTTAAAACTATTCCACCCTCTTCAACCCCCCCACTACTCATCTTTTGCACTAGCCCACCTTTCTGCCAATAGTTGCTTATATCTCACCCGAGAATATATATATATGTGATATATATATAATGTGATTATATATATATGTGTGCATGTGTGTGTGTCACACACTGTTAAAGAGTTAACGGACATCCCTTCCCCACTATTATTCCATTAATTTGAGAGTTTATGATATTATAAAATTAGTCTGTGTTTCTCTGATTCTTCAGTGCTTTTTGTTTGGCTTACGTTCAGTGAAAGTAAGAAATACTTACATAATGAATGATAGCCCCTACACTTGACATTTAACCCTTTGAGGGTCGACAGGCCCTCTCCGAAACTCGTTCTCAGAGTCGGGCAAATTTCAAAAAAAAAAAAAATTATTTTTTCTTATGAAAAAATAGAGTTTTTTTTTCTAAACATTATAGGATAAACAAAAAAAATTTACCATCAATACTTACGGAGATATGGATGCATGAAGTTTGCAGAAAATGAGCCGCGTATGGCAACAGCGGCGACTGCCGCTCACCCGGTAAACTTTAGTTTACTTGTATTTGAAGGTTTGTTGTTTTTTTCACTATTTTATTTTTTCACATAACTTATGTGGCCTGTGAGACCAAAGTAAGGTGCAATGTACATATATACACTTGTTGTATACAACACAATAAGCACACAAAAATAATTATCAATATATTGTTTACAAAACTTGTTTACAAAAACAAACAATAAAAAACATTGTTTATTATTATTGTTCTATAATATATATACCAATATACAGTCACTAAAACATATTCTATTAGTTCTGCAGCTTGTGGAACTCTGAAACATGGTGTCATACACAATGGTGTTTATCTTTCCCCCCTCATTCTATCTCTTTCAATCTGTCTCTCTCTTTCTATCTGTTGTCTATCTCTGTCTCACAGGTACACAAAAAATACAAGTTACATAGTATAAATTACTAGGAAAAACCCAAGAAACCCAGACAAAGTGCTATATCTGCTTGAAGATGTGAGTAAAAGTGATGACACAGTCTTGTGGCTCTCTGAGACAGAGAGCTAGAGGGAAATAGACAGATAGACGGGAGCTTGACAGAAGACAATTAGACAGACAGAAATGTTAGGGGTACCAGTCCCCAGTGTACTAGTTTTTCCACCCCCCTCCTCCTCCTCTTCCTCTTCCTCCTCTTCCCCCTTCTCTTCCTCTCTTCCCCCTACTCTTCCTCATACTCTTCCTCTTCCTCTTCCTCCTACCCCTTCTCTTCCTCCTTTTCCCTTTTCCCTCCTCTTTTTCCCTCTTCCCCCTACTCTTCCTCTTCCTCCTACTCTTCCTCCTCCTCCTCTTCTTCCTCTTCCCCCTAATCTTCCTCCTACTATTCCTCTTCTCCTCCTCTTCCTATTATTCCTCTTCCCCCTACTTTTCCCTCTTCCTCCTCCTCCTCTTCCTCCTCCTCCTCTTCTTCCTTTTCCCCCCTACTCTTCCTCCTTCTCCTTCTCCTCCTCCTCCATAGTGTAAATTACCAGGAGTCGGCAGCTGTAAAAATGACATATTGTCTCATTACTCACTCCCCCCTCCGCCTGTCAAAACAATGGGGTCGGATGCTGTTTTCCCTTCCTCCAGTCTATCTAATTATCTTTCTCCCTCATTTATCTGTCTTTTTATCTCTGTCTCAAAGGTACACTAAATACAAGTATACATAGTATAAATTACCTAGGATAACCCAAGAAACCCAGACAAAGTGCTATACTCTGCTTGAAGATGTGAGAAAAAGTGATGACGCAGTCTTGTGGCTCTTGAGACGGGAGAGCTAGACGGATAGACAGGGAGCTTGACAGACAGGCAAATTTAGACAGACAGAAATGTTAGTATCCCAGCAAAAACAAGGGAGGGAGATGTTTATCTCATCTTTTGGCATCAGCTCTACCCTCATTTACCCTCATCAAACGTTCAGCACTTATCAGATGTTATCTCCCCTTATCTTGTTACTGTCATGGGTGAACATTTATTTTTACCTATTATTATTATTATGTATTATTATTATGTATTATTATTATTATGGGATTATTATGTATTATTATTATTATGTATTATTGTTATCATTACGTATTCTTCTTCTTCCTCCCCCTCCTCTGCCTCCTCCTCCCCTTGCCCCCTCCTTTTCTTGCCTCCTCCTCCTTTTTGCCCCCTCTCCTCTTGCCTCCTCCTCCTCTTGCCTCCTTTCCTCCTCTGCCTCCTCTCCCTCTGCCTCCTCCCCATCCTCCATTCTTGGAACAAGTTTGAAGAGCTTGTAGTTCATAATCAAATATCACTATCATCACCAATGCTCACATCTGAGTCTGGGATTTTGGAAAATAGGAGTTTCCTCTTTGATTCTGGTACAATGAACGTGAACAAGATGGCCAGCACCAGAGGTGGAAGGCTGTGGGTTGTCTGGGTTTTCCCCACTAAATTTCCCCTATTATGGTCATTAGTTTCGGTCAAAACCTCACCAGAACCTTGAAACTCATCTTCACTGTCACTTCCATCTGTATTGAACTGTCACTGGGGAACAAAAGTGTCCCAATTCGCCGAGGAGTGAGGAACTTCTTACCACAGGGCACGGTGGAAATTTGTGTACTATGTGGCATTCCCACAATGCACCACTGGGTCCCAGATTTTTTTCCTACTGCGCACACCCACCACACAGACCCATTCTCTCAAAATCTAGGCTTATCAGCCTTTTCCCGTGAGATTTGAGGCCGCTAGAATTAAAGCGTATGTACGACCAAAACCCACGCGTAAGACGTTACTAGTACGACCAAAACCCCCAAAGGGTTAAACAGCTATAACTACATACTGATTTAGAGATTAGCATTTCCCATCCATTTATATAGAATAAAATGACCTCGAATATGGTATATATTTTCCATCTATACAATTAAGAGTAGGGCTGTGGGACTTGTGTTCATTTTATACCTAAATATACATCTGTTATGATGTGATGGGAATTAAAAAAATAAAATATTTTAGTCCAGAATAAAATTTTGTATGCATGGACACTGGGGCACCCAAAAGCATTTAAGAAATGTGATTATGTGTAGAAAAAATTTTCAACAGCAATTATCAATCTTATTTCTGTTGCAGGCTTAAAGATACAATGAACAATAATTTCTATGCTTAAATTTCAGGTGTAATGAAGAAGAGAGAAAAAGTACCTTCAGCCCGGAAGATGTGTAACGTGAAACAACTTTTCATTTTGTGCTTCATTAGTGAAATTTAGCTCCTTTGGAAGGTTTTTTTTTCATCTCCTCAACTAGCCACTCCCAAATCTGAACTCGGGGAAGATACGTGACACTATGCCACAAGTAACTGCAAGAAGAAAACTTATTATTGGTGATTTATGTGGCTGTAATACATGAATGAAGAGGCTTAGCTTCATAAGAATACTGTAATGAAAAAAAAAACACTGCAGCAGGCCCACTAGCCTATGTGATGTGGGTATTGCCCACACCCAACGTTTTCACTTAGGTACCTGTCCAGCCTATTAATACAACTCCCCAAAAAATTTACCATACTTCAACGATGCCACTTGCAAGTTTGTTTCACTGACCTGCGACTCTTTGTTACCAAGCAATTCTTCTCAGTATGACATGCTGTCTTTGTAATTTGGGATTTTCTAATTTGTTGATGTTCACAACAAACTGTTCCAATTTGTTGATGTTCACAACAAAACTGTTCCAATTTGTTGATGCTCACAACCAATTAGAACAAATGACACTTTAAAATAGCATGGACAGTTGATGCAGTAACACTCCATTAACTGTCATTAATGTTGCATGCTCTATCTTTTTTTGATACTTTCAGCACCTTATTTGCATCCTCTTTTTTTAATAAACAGTTTTCATCCATTTTACACTTCACTTATATTGCAACTCATTCTGTACTTTTCCAGATCAAGTAAGTTTAATTCTCTTAATTTATATAGTTAAAAAGATTCCGACACTGATGATTAAGTTTATCCCTTTTTTGTGTATTTTCTAGTCTTTATACCCATTCTGTAATGGAGAACAGAACCCTGCCACAAAAAATTTTAAACAAGACCTCAACAATGCTAGGAAGAGTTGTTGTACTAATCTATTACCCTTATTAACTTATGCACTCCTGCCTTGGCTTCAGATTTTTTACTAACTAGAATGCCTAACTCATCTCTGGATCAAATTTGATTAAGTTCTATGTATGTATATCATTCAGTTCCCGGTACTTCAATTATTTTCTCTTCCAAGATCAGTACCTTAATTTGTCATTATCCTAGCAATACCTTTAACTTCTCCAAAAACAATAAAAACCTACCCAAATCATCTATTTTACCACAACTGAAAAATTTGTGAATGTTACTGAAAAAAATCAGTATATACTTGAAGTATCCCATGAAAAAATAATTGTATAAAAATAACTATAACTGACACCAAGTAGATAACTGACCTCCATGCCTTCATATCAACCTTGGAGTGAGACTTAACACTTGGGGTGTTGCACCTTAACAGCCACCTCTTGCCCATTGTGAAGCTTGGCACGGTGCACTTGTGCCAGAGAGGCTGCACCTAGAGGCTCTGGCTCAAATTCCACAAATAATTCTTCAGGCTGTGGAAAGACAAAGAAGCATATCATCCAGACAGATTACTTTTGAACACTGTCCTGGGATAAGAAAACAAATTAAAGCATTTAAAAAATATATACTATATACAATGTTTGGAGTGAGATCTAAACTGTCGTATCTAAGCGCTCTACAAAGATAGTGATTATGTGTGAATGACGATTAAAAGCGTTTTTTCTTTTTTTGGTCACCGTGCCTTGGTGGGAGACAGTCAACATGTTGAAAAATATATACAGCAGGGCCCCGCTTTACGGCGTTCCGCTAATACGGTCATTTCAAATTATGACCAAAACTCGCTATACGGCTCCCCCCACCTGACTTTCTAATATGGTCACCGCACCCCACCTTGTTTGTTTACATTCTTCGTGAGCTCAGTAAGCACTAAGTCTCCATTTTGTCTGGAAAACTCCAAAATTTCAAATTTTTTTAAAAGTTATTTCATATTTTATATATACTCTGATAATTATACTTATTTTATACCTGTACTTAAATAAACTTACATACTGTGCTGGCGTGCAGGTACACATTAAAATCAGTAAGAGTGTCTTATGTCTCCAGACGTCACATTAGTAATGATAATAATAATCATCGAATCTCATTTAAATGTCGTATATTACGTTAAATACACATTTTCATTTTAAACCATCTGTGATATTTTTTCAAAATTATATAATAAACACGATACATAACATAAAAAGATGATAAATACACCCCACAATAGAATAAATAAACATAAATATGAGATGTGGTAGCAGACGACTTGCACAAGTGACGCCATATTAGAAATGCTAATAATAATAATAATCACCGAGTCTCATTAAATGTTGTATATTACGTTAATATACACATTTTCATTAATCCATCCATGATATTTTTTTCAAAATTATATAATAAACACGATACATAACATAAAAAGATGATAATTTCACCCTACAATAGAATAAATAAAAAAATAAATATGAGGTGTGGTAGCCAGATAACTTGTACAAGTGATGCCAAGAATAACATTTTCTCTAATCTAACATAAGAGAAAATGTGTTACTGGGGGTAACTGTAGAAAATTATTCCTTTCGTATGTATGTAAGTAAGTTTATTCAGGTATACACAAATACAGTTACATAGATTATCATACATAACAACATATGTGTAGAGAACCTAGGATAACCCAAAAAAGTCAGAGGTGATTATTTCCATTGCCTTCCCGGTGGCATGGTGGCTACAGCTCCGCTTCACACACGGAGGGCCCGGGTTCGATTCCGGCGGGTGGAAACATTTCGACACGTTTCCTTACACCTGTTGTCCTGTTCACCTAGCAGCAAATAGGTACCTGGGTGTTAGTCGACTGGTGTGGGTCGCATCCTGGGGGACAAGATTAAGGACCCCAATGGAAATAAGTTAGACAGTCCTCGATGACGCACTGACTTTCTTGGGTTATCCTGGGTGGCTAACCCTCCGGGGTTAAAAATCCGAACGAAATCTTATCTTATCTTATCTCTTATCTTCTCAAAATGATGTTACATGAGAATGGGAGTGTTCTTCTTTATTTATTCTACCGTATCAATGTAGAGACAACCTGTACACAATGTAACTTGTACACAAACCAGACGTGTACACTTTGTTTACAAAACTTACCTTCGCCTGGTTTGTTTACATAACTCTGCGCCTGTACTCTCTCATGCACTCATTCTTTCTCTCTCTCTCATTTATTCGTTTTATCCCATTTACTTACTCCTGACCCTACATTAAGACTACAAATATTTTAAGGTAAGTAATGAGTGAACTGTATATACATTTTATCGCTCTGGGATGCTTAAATATCATAGAATTGTATGTGTGGGTGGGGTGGCCTGGTATGGTAGACTGGCTGACTACCATACATACCACACTTGATTTCTTACAATAAATACTACTTGTCTCACCCTAGATTAAGACTATAAATATTTTAAGGTAAGTAACGAGTGCACTATGTGTGTATTGTACTTTTTTATTGTTTTTTGATGCCTGGTTCTATTGCTAACTTAATATATGTTAGTGTAAACTTGTTATCTAGTGTTTGTATGCATTTGTAAGTGGAAAAAAAGGGTGTTCCACTTTACGGCGGTTTCCGCTTTACGGCGGTAGCCTGGAACCTAACCAGCCGTATAAGTGGGGCCTTCCTGTATATACAATGTACCTGTAAATGTTACCACTGCAGTTTCAAGCTGATTATCATTTTTTTTTTTTTCAACAAGTCGGCCGTCTCCCACCGAGGCAGGGTGACCCAAAGAGAAAGAAAATCCCCAAAAAGAAAATACTTTCATCATCATTCAACACTTTCACCTCACTCACACCTAATCAATATTTTTGCAGAGGTGCACAGAATACAACAGTTTAGAAGTATATACGTATAAAAATACACAATATATCTCTTCAAACTGCCAATATCCCAAACCCCTCCTTTAGAGTGCAGGCAATGTACTTCCCATTTCCAGGACTCAAGTCCGGTTATATAAAATAACCAGTTTCCCTGAATCCCTTCGCTAAATATTACCCTGCTCACACTCCAACAGATCGTCAGGTCCCAAATACCATTTGTCTCCATTCACTCCTATCTAACACGCTTACGCATGCTTGCTGGAAATCCAAACCCCTCGCCCACAACACCTCCTTTACCCCCTCCCTCCAACCTTTTTGAGGACAACCCCTACCCTGCCTTCCTTCCCCTACAGATTTATACGCTCTCCATGTCATTCTACTTTCATCCATTCTCTCTAAATGACCAAACCACCTCAACAAACCCCTCTTCAGCCCTCTGACTAATACTTTTATTAACTCCACACCTTCTCCTAATTTCCACACTCCGAATCTTCTGCATAATATTTACACCACACATTGCTCTTAGCAGGACATCTCCACTGCCTCCAACCGCCTCCTTGCTGGCAGCATTTACAACCCAAGCTTCACACCCATATAAGAGTGTTGGTACTACTATACTTTCATACATTCCTTCTTTGCCTCCATAGATAACATTTTTTGCCTCTACATATACTCAATGCACCACTCACCTTTTTTCCTTCATCAATTCTATGATAACCTCATCCTTCATAAATCCATCTGCTGACACGTCAACTCCCAAATATCTGAAAAACATTCACTTCTTTCATACTCCTCCTCCCCAATTTGATATCCAATTTTTCTTTATCTAAATCATTTGATACTCTCATCACCTTACTCTTTTCTATGTTCACTTTCAACTTTCTACCTTTACACACATTCCCAAATTCGTCCACTAACCTTTGCAATTTTTCTTAAGAATCTCCCATAAGCACAGTATCATCAGCAAAAAGTAACTGTGTCACTTCCCATTTTGTATTTAATTCCCCATAATTTAATCTCACCCCTCTCCTGAACACCCTAGCATTTACTTCTTTTACAACCCCATCTAAAAATATATTAAACAACCATGGTGACATTACACATCCCTCTCTAAGACCTACTTTTACCGGGAAGTAGGTTGGTAGACAGCAACCACCCAGGGAGGTAGTACTGTTTTGCCAAGTGAGTGTAAAACAAAAGCCTGTAATTGTTTTACATGATGGTAGGATTGCTGGTGTCTTTTGTCTGTCTCATAAATATGCAAGATTACAGGTACGTCTTTCTACTTCTACTTACACTTAGGCCACACTAAACATACGTGTACACGTTTATTTATACACACTCATCTGAGTTTTATTTGATTTTATCTTAGTTCTTGTTCTAATTACTTTTCCTTTTATATCCATGGGGAAGTGGAATAAGAATCTTTCCTCCGTAAGCCATGCGTGTAGTAAAAGTCAACTAAAATGCCAGGAACAATGGGCTAGTAACCCCTTTTCCTGTAAAAATTACTAAAAAGAATAAGAAGAAAATTGTCGAAGTGGGAAGTTTGAATGTGCGTGGATGTTGTGCAAATGATCAGAAAGAGATGATTATGGATGTCATAAATGAGAAGCTGATTATCATTATTATAATTATAGAGATGTGCTCAACTTGCAGGAGCTCCAAGATGAGTTAAAGCTTTTACTCCAATATCTGCAATATTTCCTATGATGCTAAACTTTCTGCACTATAAAAAATGGAGTCAATATGGCTGATACACCAAGATATAAAACAAAACAAACAACTTTACTTATATAAAGTGAAGTACACGTACAGTGGACCCCCGCTTAACGATCACCTCCCAATGCGACCAATTATGTAAGTGTATTTATGTAAGAGCGTTTGTACGTGTATGTTTGGGGGGTCTTCATGAAATGGACTAATCTACTCACAATATTCCTTATGGAAACAAATTCGGTCAGTACTGGCACCTGAACATACTTCTGGAATGAAAAAATATCGTTAACCAGGGGTCCACTGTACTGTAAAGTACAGTGGTCCCTCAATTATTGTCCTTAATCCTTTCCTGGAAGTGGGACTATTATCGAAAATAGACGATTTTCGAATCAATTTTCCCATAAGAAATAATGTAAATACAATTAATCCATTCCTGACACCCAAAAAGTATTAAAACAAAAAAATTTTTTACATGAAATATAGATTTAGTACATAAATAATACAATGGGACATGATGTATGAAACTTTAAAACAGCATAACACTTACCTTTATTGGCGATTCTTCTTAGTGTATGGAAGACTGGAGGAGGAAATCCCCACTAGCATTGCACAGAACTGAGCGTCAGCCGTCTTTCATAGGCTTGTGTCCTCAGTGCCTTTTCTTCCTGAGTAATGTAGGTCTCTTTGGCATTTCTTCCAAAAGTGGCCTTTTTTCGTCACAACTGAACACTTGTTCAGGTTTCAGTCCTTCAGCCTCATGTACTCCTTGAATTCTGCACATATTTTTCAGCCGCTTTTGGTCCGAACGGGGCAGCCTCACCATCCTTTTCACACTGTGTATGCCAGTACGCTCCTTATATCTCTCAAACCAGCCTTTGCTGGCCTTAAATTCACCCCACATCACCACAAGTTG